ACGTCATATTGAACCCTATGGATTAGGAATGGGAGGTCACCTACAGTAAGTTCATATGCGAGGAAAGGCAGGTGAGCGAATACTTTTGGCAATATAGTGTATCTTCTGGAGTGTTTAGTATTCCTGTCAATTTGGTCTTGTCTGCAAATTTGAAGAGTTCCCCTTCTATCCTCTTGCCTAAATCATTGATGAAAATGAACAGATCTTGTGAATCCTCCTGTTCTTTTTTCCGTTTTCAGGAGAGTCTGGTGTCCTTCGAGGAGGTGGCTGTGTATTTCTCTGAGGAGGAATGGTCTCAGCTGGATCCTGACCAGAAAGCGCTGCATTCGGAAGTGATGCTTGAAAACTATAGGAACGTGGTCTCTCTGGGTAAGAGTTTTCTAGTCCACAGAGAGTTCAAGAAGACAGATTATAGTTAGGCTTTTTTATTAAAAAACCACTAATCAAATATTGTCTCCTGTGAGGGAGAAGGGAAGGATCTGGCTTTCTCAGACTCCAAGGAAAGAAAAAGTCAATGTCTCTTTGCTTACATGCTTTCTGTGCCATTTCTTAATTGTATTTTTCCATTTCTTTTTGAACTTATCTGTGGAGGCTGAGAAGAACAAGGTGTGCTTTTATGTGTCCTCTGGAGATCATGTGAGAGGAGTGTGTTGTCATTTGTCCTCTGAAATCCTCCAAAATTGTGTGAGAATAGAACTTTCACACTCAGCACCTGGACGAGCATTCTCCCAATCCAATTCAAGAACTATATCTACTACCCCACCTCACCCCGCCAGGATATACCATATTTTTTTGGCTATAAGATTCACTTTTCTTCCCAAAAAAATATGGGTGGAAATATCTGCGTGTTATAGAGTGAATAAGGGCCTGGTTTTGGCCTCCCAAACCCTCTCCGCCTCCCGTTTTCAGCCTCCTCAACACTGTGGAGCGCAGAAGCAGTACCTTGCAATGATGTGGCGAGCCTTCAGTTCCTTTGCTACTTCGGTGCATTTGCAGAAAAGAGAGGACTATTTCGGTGCATTTGCAGAAAAAAGTAGTGAGAGATATGTGAGATCAGTAGTGGGAAATCCAGGTTTGTATTATTTGTATTTTTTAAAAAGAAAAAGTAGTGAGAAATCTAGCACTATTGATCTCACATGATCTCGTGTTACTGTGCTTTAGGCCTCTGTTCTCTGCTAATCAAGGCCTGCACGAGATCCAGGGCAAAGTGCTTTGCAAACAGAAGGAAGGCCTCTTTCTTTTCAAAGACTTTGGCCTCGGATCTCGTGCAGTCCTCATTTCTTAAAAGAACACAGGCCTAAAGTACTGCAGTGCGAGATCATGCAAGATTACTAGCCTGAGATCTTGCACTACTTATCTTGCACTAAAGAGTTTAGGCCTCTATTCTCTGTGAACTGAAGCCTGTACCAAATCCAGCCAAAGCTCAATGAGACTTTGGAGCAGCAAAATAGCCATTCTTGAAGCCTCCCAACTTTTCCAGTCTCAGCGCGAAGAGCATTTAAAAGCAAATGGGAGGCTTCAAGCAAGGGATTTCGCTCCAAAGTTTCATAGTTGGGATCAAGGAACAGGCGTCCCACCTGCCAGAAAGACCTCATGGAGCAGCTGCTCCAAGGTACACCAGGGAACAAGGAGCTTGTTTCAAAATTGTTTCATTTCTCACAGGTCTCTGCTGAAATTAACACACCCCAATAAATCTTGAGATTTATAAAACAGACTCTGAGTGAGATTTGCATATGTATAGACAATTATAAAGAAAGAGATGTTTTCTAGATATTTTGAAAGCTTTCGTGACTCATGAATATAGAAATCATCATGTCTATATCACACCCCTATAAGCATGCAAACATACAACCTAATGGAATTTTGGAGAAATTCAGAAGGAAATTCATCTGACTTTCTACACATTGATCTTTTTCTCTAACCTTGTGATTATTTTCATTTTGCTTTTGCTTTGAAGGTAATAATGGGCAGGAGAATCAAGATTCCTGTGAGATGTTCCAAATGATCAGTGCTAAAGATGGAACGGAAAAATTTGGAATTCAAATGGAATTCAAAAGCTATGAGAGAAACCAGTCAAAGAATTGGAATCAGGAAAGCTCATGTTCCACTGATGCTCCAATGCAAGACTTTCTTGCCCAAGAAGAGAAAATAAGGAAAAAACATACTGGAAAATGTGTGAAGTTAATCAAAACTAAAGTACAAGTAAATGAACACTATCTAACCAAAAACAAAGTAGACGATGCTATAAGAAGACAGGACAAACAAAATTACAATGGGACATTCATTCTTTCTCTTGGAAATAAGTTCCCTACATATCAAAAAACGATTGAAACAAAAGAGAAGCCTTATAAATGTTTGGAATGTGGAAAATGTTTTAGAACAAACAGGCAACTTACAATTCATGGAAGGATCCACACAGGGGAGAAACCATATAAATGCATAGAGTGTGGAAAGACCTTTGCTCATAACAATACACTTAATATCCATAAAAGAATCCACACAGGGGAGAAACCATATAAATGCATAGAGTGTGGAAAGACCTTTGCTCATAACAATACACTTAATATCCATAAAAGAATCCACACAGGGGAGAAACCATATAAATGCATAGAGTGTGGAAAGACCTTTGCTCATAACAATACACTTAATATCCATAAAAGGATCCACACAGGGGAGAAACCATATAAATGCATAGAGTGTGGAAAGACCTTTGCTCATAACAATACACTTACTATCCATAAAAGGATCCACACAGGGGAGAAACCATATAAATGCATGGAGTGTGGAAAGACCTTT